AATTGTTAGATCCTAAAGGATCTAACTATATTTTATACTATATTTGATTTTATACTATATTTTAGACTATAATTGATTTTCAAAAGTAAGTAGTGTTAAGTTTCTTTAAAAAACAAATTATTTCATTTCCTTTAGAAAAATGTTTGTTTTAGAACTGCATCGTTTGGCCGGCGCCATGGATCACCAGGCTAATCCTCCGCCTGCGGCGCCAGCACTCCAGGTTCTAGTCCCGGTTGGGGCGCTGGATTCTGTCCCAGTTGCCCCTCTTCCAGTCCAGCTCTCTGCTGTGGCCCGGAAAGGCAGTGGAGGATGGCCCAAGTGCTTGGGCCCTGCACCCAAAGGGGAGACCAGGAGGAAGCACGGGGCTCCTGGCGCCGGATTGGGGGAGGGGCCAGCCATAACATCGGGGCGAGGAGGTCTCTCTCTTTACTGTCAAATTCGGGGGTCAATAATTTAAAAAAAAAACAAAACTGGACAATTAAGAAAGTCCCCATTTAAAAAAAAAGAAAAAGAGGGGTTGCCGAAAGTTTTTTTTTAAAATTTATTTTATTTTTTTTGAAAAGGCAGATTTACCCAAAAAAAAAAAAGGGCCCAAGCGGGAAAAGACAAAAAAGAGGGAAGGAAAGGGTCTTTTCCTTCCCCAAAATTGGCCCCCAAAGGGTGGAGCTTGAGCTTGATCCCAAAAGCCAGGGAGCCGAGAAGCTTCCTTGAGGTCTTTCATCCAATGGTTCACTCCCCAATTGGCCGTAATGGCTGGAGCTGTGCTGATCCAAAGCCAGGAGCCAGGAGCTTCTTCTGGGTCTCCCAAGTGAGTGCAGGTGCCCAAGGACTTGGGCCATCTTCCACTTCTCTCTCAGGCCACAGCAGAGAGCTAGATTGGAAGTGGAGCAGCTGGGTCTTGAACCAGCGTCCATATGGGATGCTGGCGCTTCAGGCCAGGGCATTAATCCACTGTGCCACACCGCCAGTCCCTGCCAGAATTTCTTTTTTTTTTTTTTGACAGGCAGAGTGGACAGTGAGAGAAAGGTCTTCCTTTGCCGTTGGTTCACCTTCCAATGGCCGCTGTGGCTGGCGCACCGCGCTGATGGCAGGAGCCAGGTACTTCTCCTGGTCTCCCATGGGGTGCACCACTGCACTCCCTGGCCACAGCAGAGAGCTGGCCTGGAAGAGGGACAACCGGGACAGAATCTGGCACCCCGACCGGGACTAGAACCCAGTGTCCCGGCGCCGCAAGGTGGAGTACTAGCCTAGTGAGCCACGGCGCCGGCGCCGGCTCCTGCCAGAATTTCTTAAGCCCTTGGGTCAGCGCTACTAAGGCATTCATCAGTGTTTGAAAACTTAACAATTAGGTTCTCAGTTATTTGATAGTTTCTGGTGGTGTTTTATAGATTCTATGAATAAGAATAAACTTCCTTTCTTCGCTTGCTGAGCTCTCTGCCTTGTAGCCTGCAACGTTTGCTACCTTAGCAAGAAGGAGGTAAGTGGAAAGGTTGGAATGTGAAGATGGTAGAGATTTGAATTGAGACATAAAGAGGTTAAGATGATAGAGGAGGAAAAGAGCTAACACTAGAGTACTTATGAGTTGAACTGAGCAGTCCATATGTTATGTCATTAAATGTAGGGGATTCAGGGGGAGATGAATAGTAACTGAGTTGAGATTTTGTCTCTATTTTGAAAAATTGCTATGTGTGGATTACTAAGTAAGTACCATACTATAATACTATATTTTCCCTCCTCAGCTGCTGTTGAACATCTTGTGATGAGTGATTCACTTTGCTCTCTAGAAAAGTGGCAAGCAATGGCAAATATATGTTTACAAAATGGCTTTGACAAGTTACGTAATGACATCATGTCCATCCTTCGATCTCAGGCTGGAGTAACAGAAATTTCTGAAGAGGATGATACAGTCAATTTAATGGAACATGTTTTTTGGTAGTTCTATATCTTCACCAGTTGAGGGAGCTTGTATAACATTTTATGTATGTTGGTTGGGCAAACTGGTTTGGCATAACTCACTTTTAAATAAATTTAGAGTATGAAACTCTCAGAAATAAATGACACTTTGTCATTGACGACATGTAGATTTGTCCTTGAAAACATTCCTTTATCCTATGTGGTCATTTCTTATAGTTAATCTTGATAAAATCTAGGAATGTAACTGTGTAAAACACGGTAGACATTTTTATCTAAATGTCTAAGCTAATGTTCAGATACATTCCTTTCTGATAATCTAATTTGATAGCAAAAACTGAAGAAGTTATGGGAAGTATCCTGTCAGACTGTTTTCCTAAATATCAAGTGCTACAAACCTGACTTGACAAGAAAAACAGGATGTCACTTCTTTTTTCTTTTTTTTTTTTTTTCTTTTGACAGGCAGAGTGGATAGTGAGAGAGAGAGAGACAGAGAAAAAGGTCTTCCTTTTGCCGTTGGTTCACCCTCCAATGGCTGCCACGGCTGGTGTGCTGTGGCCGGCGCACCGTGCTGATCCCATAGCAGGAGCCAGGTGCTTCTCCTGGTCTCCCATCGGGTGCAGGGCCCAAGCACTTGGGCCATCCTCCACTGCCTTTCCGGGCCACAGCAGAGAGCTGGCCTGGAAGAGGGGCAACTGGGAAAGAATCCGGCGCCCCGACCGGTACTAGAACCAGGTGTGCCGGCGCCGCTAGGTGGAGGATTAGCCTAGTGAGCCGCGGCGCCAGCCAGGATGTCATTTCAAGGTTGAATCCTCTGGCAAAACCCTATAGAGTATAGTAGTAACTTTAAATTGCTGGTTTAAAAACATACCCCATGCTTTGCCATAGATAAATATGACAAAGATTAGGTGTCTACATAGAATTTGGGAATGTTCTTATTTAGTAAGATCAACCAACTTTTGCACAGAAAGACTTGGGATTTCTGTAGGTACTGAAAATATAATACGAAGGGCCAGTGCTGTGGTATAGCAGGTAAAGCCACCGCCTGTATTGCTGGCATCCCATATGGGCGCAGTTTCAAGTCCTGGCTGCTCCACTTCCAATCCAGCTCTCTGCTATGGCCCAAGTCCTCAGGCCCTTGCACGTGCCTGGGGGACCCAGAAGAAGCTCCTGGCTCCTGGCTTCAGATTGGCACAGCTCCAGTCATTGCATCTATCTGGGGAGTGAACCAGCAGACAGAAGACCTCTCTCTCTGTCTCTCTGCCTTTCTGTAACTCTGCCTTTCAAATAAATAAGATAAAATCTTAAAAAAAAAAAAAAAGAAAATGTATTGTAGGAAGTGATTTTGTATGATTTAAATTGTTCAAATAAGTATTGAAAGTTCAGAGATCTATGCCATGGGCATATATGGTACTAAAAATATTGAATAATCAGTATGGCGTGGGTACCAATCAAGCTGAGCAGGTAGCTAAATAATCAGAACAGCTTTCAGCCCTTCACCACACCAGAACATACCAACCGAATGTCAACCTTGACCATGAATATGGTAACAATGAGCTACTGCATAATAGAGGAAGAGGAAAGAGCACAAGTCCTTCTAACTTCAGAATGATTTTTTAAAAAGATTCACTTATGTATTTTTAAGTCAGAGAGAAGGGGTCTTCCATCTCCTGTTTCACTCCCCAAATGGCTGCAGCCAGGAGCCAAGAGCTTCATCCAGATCTCCCACATGGGTGGCAGGGGTCCAGACATTTAGGCCATCTTCCGCTGCATTTCCCAGGCCATTATCAGGTAGCTGGTTTGGAAATGGAGCAGCTGGGACATAGTGGACACTCATATGGGAAACCAGCATTGCAGGTGGCGGCCTCACCCACTGCTCCACAATACCAGCCCCTGCATGCTATTTTTTATTTTATAGTAGAAATAATGTGAACTTGGAGTCAGACAGCCTTGTATTACAATTTTTTTTTGAAAGGCAGAGTTTCAGAGAGGCAGAGACAGAGAAAGAAAGCAAAGTTTTCCATCCACTGGTTCACTCCCCAAATAGCTACAATGGCCAGAGCTAAGCCAGACCGATCCAGGAGCTTCTTCTGGGTCTCCCACGCAGATGCAGGGGCCCAAGGACTTAGAACATCTTCTAATGCTTTCCCAGGCCACAATAGGTAGCTGAATCAGAAGTGGAGCAGCTGTGACTTGAACCAACGCCCGTATGGGATGCTGGCACTGCAGGCGGCAGCTTTACCTGCTACGCCACAGCGCCGGCCCTTTATATTACAATTTTGGCCCTACCTCTTATTCTTTTGTAAAACATGGGCAATGATACCTCCCCTTTGTGTGGTGTGAGGATTAATGACAACATATGTATAGTATAAATGTGTAACATTATAGGTGGAACTTCACAGATATGAGCTATTATTTCCATGTGATAGATTCCACAAACACAGATTTCTCTACTTAGTTTATGCTTACTAAATCCTATGTTTCTATCTATTTGTATTATAGGATTATCCTTTTTGGGAGTATTTGATAAGTTAGTATAACTTACTGCATATGTAAGCTGTTTGTTCATGCTCATGTTATAGTTGCCTGGCTTATTTTATAAATTCAGAAGTACATTGGCTGTTTCAAATTTTTCCATATACTCAGAGTAGTAAACAATATACTGACTAATTACAATTCAGTTTCCTGAAACCTAAGTATTTTTACTAAAATGATACATATACAAGTTTAAAAGCCAATATATTACTAAAAGGACTTGTGGTGACTCATAATATTTTGAACTCTGGTCTTCACATCAGCTGTGAGTTTTAAAAAGAACAGATGAAGGGTTGATGCTGTGGAACAGTGAGTTTAGCAGTGGCCTGCAGTGCTGGCATCCCATATGAGCACAGGTTCGAGTCCCAGCTGCTCCACTTCCAATCCAGCTCCCAGCTAGTGTGCCTGAAGATGCTAGCAGCAGAAGATGGATTAACCCTGCACCCTTGTGGCTCCTGGCTTCAGCCTGGCCCAGCACCAGGTATTGTGGCCTTCTGGGGAATGAACCAGTGGATAAAAGATCTCTTTCTCTCTCTGTGTCTCTCTCTCTCTCTCCCTCTCCCTCTTCCTCTCCCTCTCCCTCTCTAACTCTGCTTTTCCAATAAATAAATAAATCTTTAAAAAAAAACAGATGAAGAAAGGGACAGAGAGAGAGGATATTTCAGCAGCCTTGGTTCTTTATGTACCAGTGGCTTAAAATCTTTTTATTCTTTGAGAGCTGTATGATTGATGGAAAGCTACCCTGTGTTCTCTGACAGAGCGAGGTGAAAAAAACGTGACCATGAAAGCTAGAAGGCTGAAGCAGGTATATGAATCTGCAATAGCAGCTGTCGTGTTCTGTTAATTTTGCCTTGGTTTTAAAATGTTTTTCCTCCACTCATTATTTCTCAGGTAGCATTTTACTTTTGTCAGCTTTTTTCAAGGACAGTGAAAGTTGTTGAGTGAATATAAATTAAAATGCCTGGAGGTGGAAAATGGAGTGGGGAGGAAGAGGGAGAACAGAAGAGTCAAGTGGGGAAGGAGAAAGAATTGAGCTGTGAGCTACGCAGGACTTGGCAGCCAGGAGAACCTCCCTGCGAGCTGCTCTGGGACAGGTGTACCCTGGGCCCTCGCGCGGAATCTGTGTTCCAGACCAACTGCTGCTTTGTGTCCTTTCCCTTGTGTTTAAGGACTGGACGAGTCCAGCTCTAGAACTCAGTAATTCTGAACTGGTGCAAATTGTTTCCTAGTGCTTCCTGACCTTCTGCTTAGATTTGAAATCCTAAGATTCAATGGCAGCATCAACTACATATACTTGAATAACTTTCTCATACAGTTTCTGCTGTCAGGATTACAACTTTAGTGGGAAGGCACAGCATATTTATTTAAATTGCTAGCAGTAATCCCTCAGTAACATCTAAAATTCAGTTCATATTCCAGTTTACAAATGCTTACAAATGAGTTGTTCCATTCAAGATCTAAACAACATTTATATGGCTTTTTTTTTTTTTTTTTAATTTACCTCATCATTCTTTCTCCCCCTGCCACCCCCCACCTCTGAGGGCTTGAACTGGCTGGGTTGTCACTGAGAATGTCCTACATTCTGGATTTGTCTGATTCTCTTTGTAGTAGAATTTAACTTGTTATCCTTCCTCCTGTTTGCTACACTAGATTTCGGTGTAACTGTTTTAGCAAGGATACCTCACAGGTGATGCTGAGTATTTTGCATTCTTCATGCTAGGAGGCACAAGCTGTTTGATTGATCCCGGTGCACTTTGAGATGAAGTCCAAAATCCTTGGCATAGTCTCCAAAACCCTGCATTGTCAGGGTTCCAGTTGCCTCTCGCCTCATCTCTTCTGGTGTGCCTACCTTTCTTTGAACTAGACACTTGCCTTCTTTCTGTCCTTTTGATAAGGGCATATTTAGGCTGCTTCTCCTACCTAGGAGTCCTGGCCCTGCCTTTTTATTTCAGATCTCAGCTTAGTTCAGGCTTCTTCAGGGAGGCCTTCCCTGACTTCCTTAATCAAGCCAGCTTGCCCTTTATATAGGAAGGGCAACATTCTGAGGATGTGGTGAGTGGGGGAGGCTTACTGTATTAATTTGCTGTGGCTACCATAGGGAAATGCTATCAACTGAATGGCTTAAGAAAATAAAAATGTACTGTCTTGCACTTCTGGAGCCTGGAAGTCTTAGATCCAGATGTCAGCCTGGTTGATTCCTTCTGAGGGCACCAGGGGAAAATCTGTTCCAGATTTCTCTCTTTGGCTTCTATATGGCTGTCTCCTCTATGTCTCTTCACATCATCTTCCTTTTATGAGTTTCTGGGTCTAAATTCCTTCTCAGAAGTACACCAGTTATTTTAACTTGGTTACCTTTATAAAGACGCCATCTCCTCTCTCAAGTAAGGGCAAATTCTGAGCTACTGGAAGTACATATGAATTTTGAGAGGACATAACTGAACCCATTATGGTGGTTATGTTAGCACAAAAAGTCAAACATAGTACTGGGCTCAGAATCAATGCCCAATTAACAGTTACAAATGAATAAATACTGAGCTGGATCTGATATCTTTCATAGTTAATGCCAGTCTCATGAATTATCTTTACTTTTTCTTCACTTTTTTTTTGGTAAATACCATTGATATAT